AGAGAGAGAGAGAGAGAGAGAGAGAGAGAGAGAGAGAGAGACACAGAGAGAGACAGAGAGAGAGAGAGGCAGAGAGACAGAGAGAGAGACAGAGAGAGAGACTAATGTTACAATTGTTTGTACAGTCTTTTATCACAATTAAATTGAAGGTTTGGTGATAACATTCTGGTATAATGCTCAATTGTTTCATTCTGTTATATTGTGTTTAACACAGAAAGTGTATTTTATATCATTATTTACTCCATTTTCTTCTCTTCCACAGGCTCCATCTAACGGAATAATATTCATTATATAAATGCACTAAACATCACTTTTACGTTGCAGCTAAAGGTGTCATAATACATAATACATCATAACGTATTAGTTTGTTGATTTATATTTTGTATTATTCTGCTGTATAAATCAATGTAGAAGTATTAAGTAACATAAAATGGAAATATTCAAGTACCTCAAAATTGCACCTCAGTACTGAGTAAATGCACTGTCTGCTGGCTCTCTCTATTCCACTCGTTTTACCTTTAACACATTGTAAATTATAGCCCTATAAATAATCTGTGCCATGCGCGCGCACACACTGACCTGGTTCCCCAGCACGGCCGCGGCGCACGCGGTGGAAACCTCCCGCGGCCCGAACCACACCGAGGCGACGCGGGACGGGAGGCCGAGGATGAACACCTGCGCCACGGCGCAGACGACCTGCGCAGTGACGGTGACTCCGAACAGCCCGGGACTCACGCTGGCGCATTTGAGCCACGCGCCGGCGCAATTGAGGCCGGCGCCCAGCAGGGCCGTGAGCCGCAGACCCTTCCGGTCCAGCAGCCAGGTGGCCGGGAAGATGAGCGGCACGTAGGCGAGCATGTAGACGATGGAGAGCCAGTCCACCTTGCCGTTGGTCACCCCGTAGTATCGCGTGAACACGTTGGCGATGATGCTGTACTGGATCCACTGGAAGGCGTTCACCAAAGAGTACAGGCTGAAAACGGCCAGCACGGCGAACCGGCGCCGGTACAGCTTCGTCTCGAGCTTCTCCTTCGCCTCTCCTCCTCCTGCGTTGGGCAGCATTGCCTCTCTCTCATCCGGCTGCAGCTCCTTCTCTCGCTCGGGGTCCGTCTCTCCGGCCCCGCCCGTCGGCGCCGCTCCATACGTGGGATCCGCCGCTCCCTCCGGCTCAGGAGTCTTCCTGCTGACCGCGATGTCGTCAAGTTCGCCGGTGTCTGCGCGCAGATGCTCCTGCACGAGCTCACCGGCGACCATGATGCCCGTTTTGACGCTTTCTGTTCTTCCCTCCCTCCCTCCCTCTGCTGACAAGACGCAAGCCAGGAAGCGATGAAAAACTACCTATACGATGTTAGAGAACATAATAACACGGAAACACTCAGACTGGATACATTTTAAAACAAACTGCTTCCACGCGATTATCAAACATCCGGCAATTCTCTCTCACGTACTGCGCGTCTCGTGCGTCTCTCCCTCTGTGAAGTGGTTCCTCTATCTTTTGTTCATCCGACGCTGTCGCGCGAGCTTCTGATGAGCCAATAGTAGAGCAGCAAGAGCTGGTGGTATGTTGTACTGCTGCCTGGGGTTTGATATATTATATATTTATATTTATAAGAGAAGCATCGGTGACCACGTGGAGGCTGACATGCGACGATGCAACAGCTTGTACAGAAGTTACACCGCACATGTTACAAGAGGTAAACATTATGAATAATTCAGTTTAATACAATATGTCCTTGTTTAGTCACGATAATGTTATTGCACTGTCTGCACTTCCACAGAAATAAGAATTATAAATGTATTATTATTAAATACGTGTTTAAGAAAACTCTCATTACATTATGAAACATTTTAAAGAAAATGTCACCATTCATTTGTTTTATGACTAAATAATCACATTAAATATGTTTCATCTCAGTTTAAGCTCATGATCATCGTTTGTTGTTATAGATGGTGAAATATGAATGTAAAACAATAAAAGAGAGACCATGAAACCTCCCCAGTTGATTACTCACAATAAGGCAAATGTTTTTTGTGTTACGTTTTCTGAAATTGTATGTTTTAATATGCAAATGAGGCATTATCCAATGTAGATTTAGTAGAAATCTATCGAGGCAAATAGACAAAGTAGTAAAATAAACATCTAAATGTGTATTTTTAATGTTTTCTTTCCACTAGTCTGAACATGCAGAAACAAAATAGACAAAGATCTGAAATTGACCAGCAAGCATGAAATGCTGCAGTGTCTCATCTTGAATAATTAACAAAACAAATCCATTGAAATAAATGACAAAAGTAAATCCCTGTGCTCCTTGCGACAGTGCTGCTTGGGCCTTACTCACAGTTAGTCTGACCATGTGCTCAGACCGTTATCTGCTCTAATCCTCCTTTGACCCAGTGGGACTCCACTGCAGCAGGTACAAGTCTAATCCCACATGGAACTCACATTTATTATACATTCATTTAATTGTTTCTTCAATATTTGTGAAATAAAAGTAAACCCCCAAATGACATTTTAGGCCCTGACCTAATGCAACATTGAAGATGTCATGCTGGGAAACAGCATGTCAGTGACCTGTCATGACGTCACAGTGTCCTGAGTACACTTCCACATCACAGCAGCGGAGACGTGAAATCATTGAATGGCAGACACTGGTCAGTAAGGAGTTATTATTCAGGTTGTAATAAAAACAAGCTGAGGCTATAACATATATAATATACATATATATTTTTGCAGTTGAAACCCCTTTGCTGTATGTAGGTCTATCTCAGGAGGATCACATAACCTCTGAGTGAGAGACCTCTCACTCTGTCTCTGTTTCAAAGTCCCACAAGGGCGAAGAAAAAATACAATTTACTCTCAGTAGATAGTTGGATGAATCCTGTCATTTAAGAAACCATATTAATGAGATACGAGTTGGCTATAAGGAGATATATTGTGTGTAAGAAATATCACATGGCATATGAGACTCTGAGTCATGACATGCATCTGCTGTTATTGTGGGGTTGCGTCTGTATTATGCAAAGAAACAGAAGGTTTGAGAGCAAAACCCAATGCTATTCAAGTTTTGGATTTGCAAACAAAACTTATTTTACATAAAAAAATTGAATTGCAGTGTTGATAGATTTACTCTTAAACCGTCTGTTTGATTGAATAACCAAGACACAAAAACTAACTCTTGAACTTTTTTCAGTGACTTTAAAAAGAGCAAAACGATGAGAAAGTAAAAGTTTAGAGAATCTCAAAAGTTCCAACTGTTGAACAAACAAAGGCAGAACCTCTGCGTGTGTTTGAAACTCTCTACAGAGTCCCTCATCCGTGGGATGAACGTGAAAGATCTTTGGAACGCGCTGCTGCTTCTTCTTCTTCGGGTTCCCCGTTGCCATTGAAACGGCATCCTACACAAAGACAAACAGAACGGACCACACGTTGGGTGATTTACAGCAGAAACAAAAGACAACACAAACACTCACAAGATGTCTGGAGCTGAGCAGCGGACTCTCCTGGAGCGCAACATGACGAGGGAGACGTGGTGCCGGGTGGAGGTGAACCCCCAGCAGTACCGGGAGAGGGCCGAGAGGAGACACTACCGGAGTCACCTGCGCACCAGCCCGGACCTCCTCGCCGCTCTGACCGGCGGATCGCAGCGCGCGTCGGCCCGCATCGAGTGGCCGACCGCCTCCAAGCTTGCGGAGAGAAAGCACTTCGAAGACAGCAGTAAGACGTTACTGAAATACTCCTAATGACTTCATGGCTATTATATCTGCACGTGCACGACTCCATTCATTTCTAATTGATTAAGGGAGTGTCACATTTCACGACAGAATTTAAAGCCATGCTGTGGTATCTTTATAGAAGGGATAAGAAAAACAGAAATTGGTTTATTTATTTATTCATTAGGTAGCTTGGTTGTGTTATACATTTATCCTCTTGAGCTGACACTGAGAATTAAGTTTAAAAACAGTTATTGATAATTCAAAAATCCAATTTGCTAATTTATATGGTATACTTTGGAAATCATCCATCAGCAATGCAGGGTACACATGATTTATATATATATATATAAAATACATATAAACCATATGAATCATGTACGAATGTTATACAAACTATTTGAAGCCTGTGTGTGATGCCTCAGTTCTTCTCCTCCAGATCGATCACAGCTGTTGTGGACGGCTACAAACACACACAGGACCTGAAGAACCTTTAATGTTCGATGGATACATCATAATAAAATATCCATTCAGAAGAGATACAGGAGTATTACAAGTGTTCATCTTTGCCTTGTTTGTAGTTGTTTCTACCTCTAAAAAATCAAATAGATGGACCGGTCTCTGCTGGAGGATCTGGGTCTGTCCACGGTGGACCGGTATCTGCTGGAGGATCTGGGTCTGTCCACGGTGGACCGGTCTCTGCTGGAGGATCTGGGTCTGTCCACGGTGGACCGGTCTCTGCAGTTTCTGGTGAACCTGCATGAGTTCATCTGGTTTCACCAGAATCCGACTCGGTGGCTCCGATGACGAGCATTAAGAATAACTCTATAGAAACAGACCATCTTCTCTCTGATGGTCTCTTTACTGATGGAGGTCTGCCATCAGGACTAAACAGAGACTGGTTCATATAGAGGATCAGGACTAAACTGAGACTGGTTCATAGAGGATCAGGACTAGACTGAGGAGGCGCCACCCTCAGGCCCTTTCAGAAACGCGTGTCCTGCATGCTAGCGTTTGAGCTTGGGGAAAAGTCTGTGTGCGTTTTGTGCGGAGACGAGCCGAACAGTTTGTGGCGACACGCCTTTGACGTCGGCGATGTACCGGCAGCACAGAACGATGTCACGGGGCTCGTTCCTCACCTGGGAGACAGAAAAAAACATAAAAAACAATGAAAAAACAAACATCTGCAGAGGAGATGCAGCTGTGTTGAAGTGTCCGCGATGAGATTTTAAACAGTTGAAACTCACATGCTTGTCGAGTCCCAGCGCAGGAGAGTCGGTCTCAAGACAGATGTGTTCCAGCGGGATCTGCTTGATCAGTTTGTCTCTCTGTATGGTATTAGTATGTCATCCTCAATGTGATGGACAGATTCATTAGCTCTTCTATCTTATTCTAACATAAAACATTGAATGTGTATATCAATAACCGTAACACTGTGGGGACAACACAATACATTCTTATTACTATATATTAAAGGTAAAATATCCTGTACTGCTGCAACTACTAATACTATTTACTACTAGTACAACTACCTCTACTAGTATCAGCAGTACTAGCATGAGTAATACGTCTCCAATGAGAACTCTGCTAGTTCCTTTCTCCATCCCAGTTGTAAAAACTATGATTGTAACTAAGATTAGAACTTATGATAAATCATGTCGTCTCCTACTATCGCTTAAAACGTGTATTCTATAAATTGGGTGGGTTGTTTTTACCCAGAATGCATCATCTGCATTCGTCTGTACATTTTTATACGCCTGCATATGAGCCAAAGTCCAGCTTAGGTTTTATGGATTTAACAAGCGATGCAGACGAAGACGTTCCCGATGAGACCAAAGACCTTTTAGATGATGATGTTTGCACTTATTTCAGAGTCCCCACTCTCTTCTAGAGGACTGTGATGGTCTCGCTGGTATGGCAGACGGGGGATCAGACCATAAACTAATATATTCCTCCCTGTGGAAGTCGGACGGAAAAGATGTGAAGTCTCCGGCTCTAACTCATCTATGAAACAACCTCTTACATTGTGAGAAATCGCTGCAATTTGATCTCGGTATAATGCAAACGCACCTGCAGATTTAAGCAAAACAAGCTAGCAAGCACGTCAACTGAGTCAAACATGCTAACCAAAATAATGCTATTTATTTTTGTTCTTCTGTCTTCTTTAAAAAAGGTATCAAAGCCATGTGACGTGTGAAGTCCCGCCCACCTGTTGGTTCCTGCAGACGGCAGGTGGGAAGGAGAAGAGGTAACCGGCCTTCACACCTTCCAGAGCGGCCGACGGCTTCCCCGCAAAGTTATGAAGCAGAGCTCGACTGATACCTGACGGAAAATCCAGAGAATGGTTACGTCCAAATGTCTTAGTTATTACGTCCGACGTGACGAAGAGGAGCGGGACACGCACCGTGTTCTCTCATGGTCTGTATGGTGACCTTAGCGGCGGATCGTGAGTGGACGTTCCTGTGCAGAAAACAGGAAGCAAGAGTTTGAATTTATTGTGTTATTATTATATTATATTACAATCAGCATGAAAACAAGTTCGCTGAGTGTCGGCAGCACTTTTTCTAACCACGTGCTTCTATGCTAGTTTGAGTGAAATCAGCCTCTTTGGCTCAGCAGCAGCACAACCAACTCTTCCCTACTCACACAGGCAGGTCCAGCTCTTTGGCGACGTGCAGCTGTTTAATGAAGACACACATCTGGTCGTCTCTGTCCTGCTGAGTGGGAGCACACCACGGCGTGAAGTCCAAACCAACCTGGAGGCAAAACAGCAGATACTCACACAGAGAGCCTCGTGGGAACTCTTCCTGTTATATTACAGTGACGAGGTGCTCAAATGTTTACCCATTAGATGTATGAGCAAAAGTACAACATGTACCTCTGAGATGTAGTGGAGGAGAAGTAGAAAGTGGCAGAAAATAGAAATACTCTACTTAAGTACAGTACTTGTTACATTCACACTTGAGTCACAGCTTAACCCAGAGTCCCCGTACACCAGACAGTCACGGATAACCGGCTCCATGCTGAAGGACGACTCCCACCCTTTGCACGGGGAGTTTCAGCTTCTTCCTTCTCGACGGAGGTATGTAGTCCCACGGTGTAGAACAAAGCGGTATAAACACAGCTTTGTCCCAGCAGCCATCACTCAGGTGAACAGATTATAGCAACGCTGCACAGACGCTATAGAAGCAACGTTTGTGTACTTATTTATTTTATTTAGTGATTTACTGATTTGTAGCCTTGTGTACTTTTATCATGTTTGTCTTGTTGTCTGCGTTGATTGTAATGTGTGATGATGTATGCCTCGCCTTCTGTTGCAAACCAAGTCTACCTACGGGTACAAATAAAAGGAACCTGAACCTGAACCTGAACGGTCCACTGCTTCTCACAGCAGCTACAGGGGGGGGGGGGATCTCGCTGTGCTTCCAACCCGATCCATAAAAATAACATTTGTTGAGACAGGAGTCAGCGTGGGACTGTTGACTTGAGCCATGTGGTGCCTGAAATCTGCTCTGACAAACACACACATTCCTCAACAGGCACCTACAGAATAGAGGGTGTGTGTGTGTGTGTGTGTGTGTGTGGACATTTTGTCCTCATTCCTTTGATGGGCTGCTTGAGGCTGAGATTAAAGTGACAGTAAGGGGCTAAGGAATGTGTTATGCCAGTCCTACGTCCACTTCTTAAACACAGTCTATGACAGCCTCCCGTATGTTACTCGTTTGGCCCGTCGGCTCTTGCACTGAATTCAGGTGAAGAAGAACCTCATTTTAAGCCCGATTGTGATGCAGAGTTCTGTACATTAGCAGGAATGTAACACGACATGGAAGTTAAAAGTGTTTATTCAAAGTGACCATCCTGAAGATTTCTGTTCAGGTTTATTTCTAATTTATATTTGAGTTAAAACATCGGAATTTCAAAGTTTGGAAGTTTGGGCTTTTGTCCCAGATTCCTCACTAACATGCTATTTTTCAGAATTGTGTGCGTAGTTCTATTATTTTGTGTTGATAAAATAGATAAAAACTGTAATACAGCATTGTTTTTACTGATAATATATAAATATTGCAATACTTTCATCAGTGGGCCATCAGCTCAATCATCACCATGTTTCCTCCCTCAGAGATAGATATATAGTCACGTAACAGACATTTATTTAAATGGAAATCTTCGAGTGATATAAAAGTATTTTGTCCTTAAGATCAATGAATAATCATGACAAATAATCCTGATCTCAATATTGATCAAAATAACCGTGATCATCATTTAGCTCACAGACGTGCAGCCCTAGTGTGTGTGTGTGTGTGTGTGTCTACCTCTCCAATAGCGACGAGGCGTTCTCTGAGTTTGTAGAACTGCGGCAGAGCAACTTCCAGATCCTGAGGAACAGACATCTCTGTTGTTATATGAATTAATCCAACAGCATCTATTCAACCACTAACACACGCTGTCATGTGTGGAAAGTGCACCACAGAAAATAGGAGAACAGATAAAGAAAGAGAGTAAAGCTATTTGTGAGTCTTAAAGAAACGTTGGGGAGCTACTCCCTATTTCTACATCCTGAAAGCCGGAGGTTTACGATTTTGTATTTTGTACTTATAATAATAGCTTAATAGGAAAAATAAATACACGTCTTCATCTCCTCCAGAGGCCTCCGTCTCTCCTCCTGCGTTCCGCCACAGAGCAGCACCGGATACAGTTACTCTCAGAATGAATCAAGTCAAACAATCAAAGGACGGGTGAGGCGCAGACTGTTGAGCTACCTGAGGCTTCACGCTGCGCTGCTCGGGGCCCTCGCCTCCCTGCAGCGGATGGAGGCCGAAACACGGAGCCACCAGACGTGGATAACTGTGAGAGGAGGATTCAACTGTAACAGCCCGAACAATAAACACCGTGTGATCCAGCTGAGAGCATCTCGTTCTGCACTCACTGTCGCTGCAGTTTGGAGGTTCTGGCACTTCACTTGAATTTTAGTGAGACGATACACTTTGACTACAATGATCTGACGAGTGCAGTTACCCTGAAAATAATAGTTCATGTGCAAATTAAATGAGAACAGGAAATGACCGAGCAGAATATGAGGTCGTTAGACCACACAGAAGAATGATTGTGTGCATTACATCTAAATATCATTAATTTATTCATTTAATTTCATAATATGCCAGTACATTCTTAATTAAATCATCGTTAGCTCCATTTCTTTTTTTCATGCAGTCCTTCCTTTCTCCATGAAGCACACTTTATAATATACGTTTATGAGAACGTATTACGTAACACTGAAGACATACACACCGTTCCTGCAGCTGGAGAACTCTGTCAAACTCTCCGACTCCTTCTGTAACGGCAACCAGAGTCTTAACCCCGGCCTGCCTACACACACACACACACACACACACACACACACACACACACACACAGTATATATAAAGACAGACATGCATGTCTCTTTTCAAATTGTCCTTCAGATAAGGCTTTGTGTTCACCATGTTACTATCATATGTGTGTGTGTGTGTGTGTGTGTGTGTGTGTGTGTGTGTGTGTGTGTGCGTGTGTGTGTGCTGACCTCAGTGGTCCTCTGGATCACATCATCCAGATCCTAGAAAGACAAACAGAAGTTTGCACAGCGGTAGGACACAGAAATTATACAAACAAAATCTAACTATTCAAAAAAGACTGTAGTTACAGCTGTAACAGACTGTGTGGACAGTGAGTGTACGCTAACATGTTGTTGTGTACAAACAGCTTTTATGATTCAAAGCAGCTATTTACAACGTCAGTACACGTTTTAGTTACTTATAATTAGTCTACGACGGATGTAATGAGGGCCATATACTGTTAAAAACAACGCTACTTGTTTAGGTTATTTAGTTAACTTACCTCTTCGAACTCACGGGCTGATATATGACAGTGACAGTCAACGAAGCCATACTCCATTGATGAAATCTCAATAACGAGTCCAAACTATGCTGAAAAACTGCGAGATTTATCCATTTTTACATACGAAGGCTAGCTAACAGCCGGCGGAACGCTGCTGCGATGCTAGAAGTGTTGTTCCGGGGACACATTAACAGTCGGACCAGGAAGTTAAACATTCACTTCCGGTTTGCGGCAAAGCAATATATAAACAAGTTGGCGGTAAAGATGGAGCCCGTGGAGAGCGGACTGTTACCGAAAGATGAAACAAATCAGGAGTACAGAGTGCAAGTCACGTCCAAGAAACACGTGATAGGACAGATAAATAAATATAAAGACATTTTGAAGACAGCTTTTGACGGACAGCCGGAAGATTCCGAGGAGACGAAGCGAGTTTTACTGCAGGAGCTGCTGGCGGTGGGTCCTATTGTTTACATCCTAATGTTACTACTAACTGTACATTTAGATAATTAAAGGATTAACTGTTCCTGTCAAGTATCAACAGACTGCTGATTGAAGACTTCTGTTGCAAGTGCGCACAGTTGTCTCTTTGGTGACTTCCAAACCAAATCACATTTATAAAATCTTGAATTTAATGTTTGTATTAATATTTGTTTAGTTGAAGTGATAATTTCGGCTTAAAGGTGTTATATGTGTATATATGCATGTATGTTTGTTTATTATAAGTACATGACAAAGGAATAGTTGATTGCACTAAACTCCTATATGTATGTTTTTCAGCGTACAGATAAAGAGTATTTGGGGAGCAGATAAAATATACATTTTTAAGCAGAGCTGCACAAATATTCCCAATTTTCCATCGTGAGCGTTGCTTTGCCTCGATAGTGAGACTAAACCGGAGATCTTTAAATTTCGAGCTCTTGGTTCGACAAAAACAAGACATTTGATGACGTCACTTTGAGCTTTAGGAATTGAGTATTTTATGATTCTCATTTAAGAAACTAATCAGCAGATTCATGAATAATTAGAAGCTTAGCTGCAGCCCTAGAAACACGCTGCGATACAGTTGATAATGTGCTGCAGGAGTATTTGGACTCTTTGCTCGACGTGAACTGCTGTATTGTTGAAACTGTTCAGTAGTGAAACGTGTTCGTATCCGCGCAGAACTTTGAGGCAGCCGTCCAGGACAACGTGTTGGTGAACGGACAGCCGTGGGAGGAGGCACCTGATGTTGAAGGTGATTCACACGACAAACTGTATAAAATCAGGTTTAGGAGCTTCAGCTTTACATAACGTCCTCAGTCGGTAAATAATGTTGATGTTGTCTGAAATAAAGTCCTATTTAATAAAGCTAACTGTCTCTCCTCTCCCTCCACCACTCAGCCGAGGACGAGGCGATGGATCTGGAAAGCCTGCTGGATGACACCATAGTCGAGACCACCAGGAGGCGCCGCACGTACCCGAAAAAGATCCTGCCTCATGTGGTCCACTCCCTCAAAGCTGAGCGTAAACTCATGGTGGGTGCCGCAGTAGCTCCGTCTTCATTCAGGGCTGATACATGTGCAGTGAAGTGAGTGGACGAGACACGCCGACACCTCTGTTTCATGGAATAAACACAGCCAAGTGGGAGGAGAAGCTGCACTTTAGACATTAAAGCCACAGTCACAGCTCAAAAACAGGAATCCATCGTTTCACAGATGGATGTTCAGGCTGACAAGTGACTGTTGAGATCAACGTTACACTGATTTAGTATCAATGACATAATGTTGAGTGATCAAACCCTGAAATGTATTTGATTAATACATGTTTAACTTTATTATCCCTGACGTCTGCTGCGTTTGTGTTTCAGGGGCTGTACGAGCACGCGGTCAAACCTCAAGAGCTGCTCAAAGATCCTGGTCAAGGTTCTTACCTTCTTAATCATTGAATACACACACATGTTTTAATTTGAGCATTCGTGTTCTTTGATATTCTGAGGGTAATGAAAGATCGACAGAAAAAACGTTCAACGATGTCTTTGCATAAATCATGCGAGGAAAGAGACTAAATATTCACATTTCTCTCTGGTTTAAAGCATTTGAAATGCTGCACACACATGCACACACACACACACTCTCTCCTATGGTGTCACATACATGTACATTGTACATTGTACATTATGTTCCTGTCTGATTGACAGGAAGAGCTACTTCTCTTTCAGCTGGACATTTGAAACACATAAATGAACTGAAACACCTGAATGCATCCGTGCTGTTTTCTGTTCAAACTGTTTAGTTTCATTAGATTTTGGAGCCGAGAGTGCGAACACAAAATGTAGCCGCCAGTTAATGGATTCATCGTGAAACGACACAACGGTTTATCTGCAGAATATTATATGTGTATATAGAATTATTAGCTTGACTATTTGACGTGATTGTGCATATATTTTGAATTGTATGCAGGAACATATCTTACACAGATGTATGTCTGTTGCCTGACGAGCAGACAAACTAATTATTTTGTGTGTGTGTGTGTGTGTGTGTGTGTGTGTGTGTGTGTGTGTGTGT